CTTCCTCTCCTCTCCTCTCCTCTCCTCTCCTCTCCTCTCCTCTCTCTCTCCTCTCCTCTCCTCTCCTCTCCTCTCCTCTCCTCTCCTCTCCTCTCCTCTCCTCTCCTCTCCTCTCCTCTCCTCTCCAAATATACTCATCATCATCATCACAAAGAATGCAGGCCTGTTCACTTAAGCACCTAACAGCTTGGAAAGAAGAAGAAGAAGGATAAAAAGCATGCCCCCTAATCAGCATTTACGCAACTGTTGCACTTGCAGCCCTGCTCCGTCTGTCATTAAGGGAAGTGGAATGATAGCTGAGCGTGACCCTTGACCTCAGTCCACACAGCAAGCGCTTTCACAAATGGGGAAGGTGCGAGCCTGATGATTTTTGTGCTAGTTGTCTAGGTACACTGATGGGGAATGCTGGTTGCATGCGTGGCCCTCGCGTGTCTGTTTCCTCTCTATCTTGATTACGAGTGATGAAAATTAAACAATTAACACTAATGCCTTACACAAATTACGCCGAGGCCAAACGTGTGGCGGAATGAATTGTCATGCCTGACTGATGGAGGGTTGAGTGAAGCGGTGATGGTGGGCAAGCAATTAAAGGATGAAACTGATGAAAAGCTCAACACGAAGATGCAAAAAAACTAAGGTCAAAGGGATACACATGAAGAGAGAGAAAGAGAGAGAGAGAGACAGAGAGAGGGGGGGGGGGAGGGGAGGCACAAGTAGGGAAGGAAGGAGACATACAAAGATTGCAGATACAGACAGAGAGATACATGTACATATAAAGAGATTGATGGACAGACAGTAGAGAGAGAGAGAGAGAGAGAGAGAGAGAGGGACAAAGAGAGATATAGAGGTAGACAAAGAGATAGATACAGACTAAGTGGAATTTGCAACATTTGAGCTGAATAGACAATGATCATTTTGATAAAACATGAAGCGAGATTTCAAAACGATCCACTTTAGTTGGTCACATACTGACAAAGAAAGTCCTAATTTATGCAATCTCAATATTATCACAAAGCAACATGCTGTGTTTATTCCTACTAAACCTATTACGCAAACATCGAAATGTTGAGCTTGGACGAACCATCAAGGAGGACAAAAAAAAATAAAGAGAGCAAGAAGTGGGCCATTTTTCTTCCTGACTTTCAAATCTACCCTGGCCATGACCTTTAGGTATTGGTCTGTCTAAGATCTAAGCAGGAGTTAGAAGAGAGAAACAGGGAGAAGTATTTAGCACCTACTGAGTCTGATCTAACGTCCTTCATTTCATTTAAACAGCTGTCGGAATCGTTTCATTTCTAACTCGCTTTTTGAGTATGCCTCTTGCTCAACAAAGATATGTTTTGAGCACAGAATGCGAGATGACTGGTGCACAATGTACTCTAGACACCACACACACCCGCACGCACAAGGCTTCTGTACAGTTTGGTCACCGTGTTCGATGTGCACTTGCGAATGGATTTAACCAGGAGATTTTGCCTGGAAAATAGGAAATGTTTCAATATCAAGATTTTCGCAATCTGCCAAATATGATAGAAGCATTGGATTTCAGTAAATGAAAAAATTAGATTAACATACATTGTAGAGAATGAAAGATGGAGTGTACATGTATAACCTTCTCTACTCAGTAATAAATTCACACATGTCTTGTGACTACCGGTAGTTGCAAAGGAAGTGAATTACAGCAGATTGGATACCTGAAGTGAATAAAGGTACATCAGAGAAGACAGCATCTTTACTTGAAAAAAACACTTAAGAGAGTGCTGGGAAGAAAAAGAATCTTTAGAAAACTGCCTTCATGTATGTAGAGTTCTTGTGAACAAAATTGTAACTTTTCTCTGGTAATAATCAACAATATTTAATTTTTTATAGTTTCTGTGCAAGATTTCACCCCACTGTCCGATCAGAGCGGGACTAATCAACATTCCAATATTTATGATCAGCAAGCGAGATGGCAGGCTGGCGGAAAAATCTGTCACACATTGTACGGCCATCACTTTGTAACATTAATGTCAGCGGGCAGGACAGGGACTCCAAACTACCCTCCATCTAGCAAATGATGGTTCTAAATTGGCAATGCGACATGAAAATGAAGTTAAATCCCCTCCCAGATGGTGCTTGTTTACCCATCGAATGTCGGACCTTGGCTCAGTAACCTTTATCGGTAAGGTTCAGTAACATTCCGCTAATGTTGTTGGACTCTTGGCTGGCTGGCTGGCTACCTTAGCCAATGTGCCCCGTGGTAAAGAACTGCTCTCAACTATGTTCTTGACGTGAATCGATGGGGTTGGATCGAGCCCTCTCAAGTGTAGGTTCGCTACACGAGAGCTGGCAGTTAAACTGGTGTGCATAGAGGGGGTACTGTGAAAACTAGAGCACATTCTGTTCCTTTTGTATGCATAACTTTGACCTAATTTAATCATTTCTTGACATAAAGACTCAAATGGGGCATTCCCTACTGCTGCATTATTTGACAAATTGTACACCACTGTATCAGTGGTACATGTATAGCCATCCCCCTCCTCGCCTTAGGAAAAAAGCATAAGAGAGAGAGAGAGAGAGATAGAGAGCAATGTTACAGAAAATTTGTGGCATATCTTATGGATACAGATAGAAGGATGAAAATAGAGCAGATTGTTGACTACACTGTTTACCTATCATAAATCAAATGTCTACAGGGAGAAAAAAAATACCTTCCCATAATTTTCTCTATTAAACAGAAGATTCTTATATATCCTGTATATTGGTTCTTGCAACCATAAATGCAAAGTTTGATATAAATGATACATTTGTGATTGAATTCACCCGAACCAAGAATGGATGATATATGAAGCATCCACAGCTTGATAAAATTAAATGAGAATAAGCCTAGATGTAAATTGAAATCTGTAATGTTTATCACTACATGCATACATGTACAAGTCAACCATTCTGATACAGTTCCAGCCTTCAGTCAATTTACTACATGAACTTAGACATTTCCTTATTGGGCAAACGAGAAAGAGAAAGCACTATAACGTGTCTCCTTTCTCTTCATCTTATCAAATCCATACGCATTTATTTTCTTACTTCTCAATTTGGAAACTTGAGAGTTTCTGTTTGAGTTAATTTCCATCATTTTCCATCCGGCCGTAGTGGATGTTTATGTGAGAGATATGAAATCAGGGGGCCCCCTTCAGGCCGACCAAGAATCTTGATTAGCGATGTCAACTACAATTATCTGAGTAATTCCCAGCAAAACAAACTAGCCGTGTCAAAATTGCGATAGCTGTTTCATCATTTATTTTCATAACTGCAAATGTTGTTTGGGTATGTGTCCCCATGTATCTACTCCGTGATGACGAGAAAAGACAAGGAGAGGAGGAGACTGTCCGGAGAAACGGAGAGGGGAGAGACATGACGAGCTTAGGTCGACTTTCAGCTCTCAAATGATGATATTTTCTCACTTGGTTAATAATCGCGAGGATCGGAAGTGCCATCGCTAATTGGACTATGGATACAATTTTTTTTCTCCATAATGCGTTCACATCTACCACTGATCTGTGTGCAATTATGATTTTGCACCGTGAAAATGTAACATTACTGAGTCATCGTTAATGGATATGACTGCAACATCACACATGTATCACTGAGCCATTAAACATCTTCACTAGAATGCATGATACTGCACTCATATACATGTTCATCCAAATATTATAAGTAGAGAAGATTTAGGAGCACATTTCCAGGTATTCTTGGCAACATTCGTGTCTAAATTCTTCGCACACATGATAGTAAATCATCATATTTTTAAGCCCCTGTTAAAACCTGCAACTGATTTATCGGTTTCTGGCATCTGAGGACTAAACTTGATACAGGGAATGACACACACGTGTGTACGTGTAGTCCCACAGCTTCACTTTGCTGTGTATACTGAAAATGAAAGTTTATATACACATGCATATACATGTACGTGTGATTCAGACAAAATTAATGTAGAATTATGAGATTTTAGATCTACAGTCTATGTACTAAACAACAACCTCACTTTTGATGTGTAAGTCTACCCCCCCCCCAAAAAAAAAAAAAAATCAATGACATGAAATTATTAAGAAATCCTGTATATACATGTATAGTATGCACATTATATACATACAGTGTATACAGGCAATTCTTTTTTTGGTCATCTAAACAATGCATAAGGTTGGACCTGTATACATGTATAGACAACTGAACTTGACAAATTGGATGTGTGTTGATGAATGCCGGGCCTGATGGGAAGGAACGTATCAAGGTTGAGGCCGACACTGATACCGTCATACAACACCCCTCCCCCATTCCAAGGCTGACAAACAAGTATGCCCGAGCTTAAAATACACTACCCTGTAACAGGTATACAGATCACCTTGCTAGAGAGTACCCCCTCCCCCTACCCCCCCCCCCCCACTCCCCACCCCCATCACCACCCCCATCCTGTACATGTAGAAAAAAACATGTACCTGTCCCCCATGCACATATAAATGTACCATAAAAAATTCATGCCTACAGATTGTTTCTTGTTTTGACGTACATAGTCTCTCCCCCACAGACTAATTGCACATAGGACTGTGATAATTAAATCTTTCAATCAACTACAAAATATTTTCACCTTTCGAAAACAAGATTTGCAATTACATTCATGCAGCCTCAATATGAAATCCAATTTAGACTTAACAACATACATGTATACAGAATATAGATTGCTATTCTACATTTCTAGAAAAAAAAAGTATTGAAATAACTAGAATGTTGATATCTTATGTGACCATTCAGTATTCAAACCATGCTAGCCTATGAAAATCAGACATCATCAATTAAAAAAATATGAAAATATAATTTCAGTCATTCTAATCGTACACTACATAAATGTTTAAGATTTCAAAACAGAAAAATGTAAATATCTAATACATCTAAGTCGGACAACCCTTCTGAATTTTTTTAAAGCCATTTTTGAGAGTTATATTAAATAAAAGAATTTTTATAAATTGGAATTGACAAGCCTAGAGTAGGATGTCAAGAAGAATAAATGAGATTTGCCTAGGAAGTCTTATCACATACCTTGTGCTCAATTCCCCCTCTCTCCAAGTTTCAGATCTATATTCAAGAGAAAATTGGAATGAGGGTCACAAAAGGTATGAGTTTCCAAGGCCGTTCATCATCAGAATATTGGATTATCATAATTATATTGTAATACTGCATGGTGTCTTTTGCACCAACATGTATGTGTACTTCAAGAGAAAGATCAAATGTAGCAGAAAAATTGTGTCTCGCAAGATCATTGCGATTTGTCATCTTAAAAATGGATGTCTATTTCATAATTCCGTATAAATTATCACAGATAGCCACGTGGGAGAATAGAAATAATGTGGGCTATATGTAATAATAAACAAACTGTATATTTAAAGAAAATAGTAAATACATAAAGAGCAAATACACTAATACAAGAATGATCTGAGGGAAATGTAACTATCAATAATAAATTTTGATACCAACTTATATTTTCATGCATTGATAACAAGCATAAATCATGTAGAAAATGATATACATGTATGTATCTGTGTTAATGGTTTTCAAAATCTCTTTAATTTGCTCCTCCATTCTTCACCTCTATAAAAGTACATGAGACCCTCATCACTGTTCTTAACACTCAATCATTTACACCCTACACCCAATCCACTTTTAGATGGGATGTACATGTACATGGTGTGCAGCTCATAGCTTCAAGGTCTCGGCATCAACACCAAGCATGAAGAGTATGAAGAATATAATCCTGCATAGCCCCACGTGTGGTTAACGGTGATGGAGTGACTGCATAATTGCATAAATTAGGCATCATTATAACTGTCAAACATGCTAGATGTGATGCTGCTAAACGTGTGTGTGTTGGGAATGGTGTTAACAGGAGCGTAACATTTTGATCCCCTAATCTAATTTGTCTATCATCTTCCATCTTTCTTGACTTGTTGATCAGATCTTGGAGGAACATTCACACTGGATCCAATCATCAATCTCACCATGCATGCTATCACACTGCATGTGAACATGCCCATTCTAACTTATATAATGTCTACAGGGTAACTCACACATTGAGTAGTATCCCTCACAGACGTTGTGCACAACTGCCACCAACACAAATTTAAGAGGTGCAGGTATATATTCAAAGACATTTAAAGCAGTGGGTATGTCCCTCTAGACCCCATCTTTAGATACAGGAATCCATACAGAAGGTATGATCATCAAATCCCTTTAAAGGGAATATGGCTAATTACAATGGCATGCATGTATATGTTAATAGATGGTCCACGGCCCATCAACCTGAAAGACAGGATTGCTTTTAAAAGCTTTGGACATCTAGGCCAAGTTAATATGTCCCTGGACTTGATACATAGACCAGAGAGACGAAAACAACCTCCATCTAAACGGACACCACGTTCGTATCACATCACCGTCACTCCCGGGTGGACCACGTAGACGGCGTCATTTGGGCAATCACGCCAAATTGGTGATTAATGTAAAAATGGGTCAAGATGGATTTGCTGTGAATCGCTTGTCACAAGTCATTGGTGGGACCTAGATTTATTGCGTCAATATCACCCACCTACTGGCGACTGATTGATAATGAATCAAGATTGTTTACTACAGTACATGCATGCCGTATTAGATATGAATAAAAGCGAAGAAATCGATTGGTAAGGCATTGTAATTATCAATCGTTCATCGATTTGATGCCGGTATCTATTTGTAGCTTGTAGAAATTTAACCCTGGGACGAGCAAAAGAAGTTCAGACAGACTTTAAAGTCAGAATTGCGATATCCTTCATCTAGAATAGAGGGAGGATGTACAAGGATACTAAAAGGTTACATCGGATTGCTTGTGAGATAGATGGGTATCAGTAATGGCTTGCTTTTAAATGATGTAGGGCTATAAAGAGAGGGATCTTCGAGTTAACATGGCCATTAGAATTTTAATGATCCCTTGGGGTACCAGAATGTCTGTGAACTAGAACCGTACCCCTAAAGGAGGTAGTGAGTGAGTGAGATAGAGAGATAGAGAGGGTTGGAAAGCTGACATGAGAGGGGTAAAGAGAAAGAGGAAGAAAGAGGCAGAGGGGTAAAGAGTCAGAGGGGTAGAAAGGGAAAGGGGTAGAGAGCAAAAGGGGCAGAGCCAGATCCTATTGCTTGCAAATCTTTAATAGCAAAATTATGATGCTGATGTACATATACACACAATCACAATCATACAATAAGAGAATAAAGATTGGTGGTCATACATTGTCTAATCCTTAACAGAGCTATTCAAAGGCCTATTCCTTATCAAAATAATATTTTGGAAACATGCCCTAGGACATCTGTTCTAGGTTAAAATGGCTAAGCCCCAGCTTTCCACAAAATCTGAACAATACGAACAGTCGGTGGAAAAAAAAACATTTGCAAAAGGGAATAGGGTCAAGAAATAATATGACAAAACTCAAAGCATGAAATTTATATGGCTCTATCAGAGACAATTGAGAAAACAGAACTATACAGTCAGGTTTTAAACCAAATAAGACAAATAAAATTATGGCACATATTGTTGGCTTGGATTGATTTGAATATCTCTGCCGAAATATGAACAAGTACCTCTCATTCAGCGAGACGACTGTAATAGGTCTGTGCAGAGTGGGCAGATTTGTCATCTTTTGAAAAGCTCACAAAAGGAAAGGTATGTGGACTTGATTTCTAAAAACGGGGCAAAATACCATTCATAAATCATTGCAATTCGTCTGGACCAAGACATTTATGATGATGTGAACCAATATAGTGGTCAATAACCTTATTAGTAATTCACATTTCATTTTTGTAAGTAAATAGTTCAATAACAATACAAGGAATAACTACGGTAAAAAAGGGAAAGTGGAAGATCTGCAGACATTTTTAAAGTCAAATTTAAAAAAAATTCTCACAAGTTTTTAATTCTTTAGTAATTTTTTAATATCTATGGATGAAAGTATAGCAAATTTCATTCCCTCTAGTCAATGCTGAATTCTACTAGTTGCCAACTTGAGGTTAATAACATTCCTAATACTCTAATTACAGTGCCTTTATCCCTCTCACCGCCGGGGACGTCATCCCTCTCATTAACACCAGATCACTGGATTTTATTCTTACACGATTTGGCTGCTGACGGAATTCGTTTCCATTTGCCATCTTAGGACAGGGGGATTTCCAAAGTGTAGCAAAAGAGGATCAGCGAAAAGGTTAGCAGCAAGGCGAGAGCAAGGGAAACAGATCTAAGCTTTCATCGGCATGACGACGATGGTCTCAGCTGGGGATGATACCCTGTTGATGATATGTCTAAACTTTAAGATGAGACTTTTGCAAGATAGAGGTGGGAGGTCGTTAGGTGACCTATTTTCTTTATCATTAAGGGAAGCTCATCATCTTTGACAACGTCTGTCAAGTTTTACTTAAGTTGTCATTTAAACCTAAGATAGGGTTTGATTAAATGTGAATCCGACATTTGCTTTCTTAATGAGAATTATATATATATATATATATATATATCACTCCTGTGCAACAACTCCTACCTGCACTTTATCTGTCCTAATGGTATGAAAATCACCTAGTATTGCTCCAATGTAGACATCTGGTATGGTACTTTAATACTTTTCTGAATACTACCGTAATCACTCTCTTGGTTGGGACGGGTACATTATCCATTTGTTACTAGAATGCATTTACAAGAGAAATATAATGTTTAGTTCTGGGGGATGCTAACAGTCACTTCTAAAAGCATTTCTTAGTAGGGATCTAACATTTGAAACAATGCCAAGTATTTTTGTACTACACCTAGACCACCACAATACAATGAGCCACACAGACAGAGAACATGGTTTCTGTCATGATTCCTATCTTTCTTTAATAGAGAAGAACATGGAGAACTAAAACGAGACGTAATATATATCCTGTTTCTTCATGATAATGTTTTGACTTGTTCAACTCTGTAAGGACATGAAAATGAGATCAGACAATCATGCCCGGCAGGGATCTTAACTTGAACCCTCAAAAACGGCGCGAGGACTCTTTATTTTAGACCCAGTGGGATGCAAATAGTGAGGCGGATAGAAACGAGAGAATGTGATCAAAATGGAGAGATGGGGAGAGAGAGAAAAGGTCTGATGCAACCTACATTTGAGCAAAATTGATGTTTTTCCAGTAAATTCAACATCCCATTTGATTTGGGTACTTCGTTTGATTTCATTTTGGGATATACAGAGCCAAGTGTATGGCTTCGGGCTCAATGGATGTGAATGTATACTGGGGAGAATATCATCAAAACAACATTGTTCTAGATTATCAATTGATGCAGGTGCAACTATTCTCAAGCCATTGCTCGGCACAGCACTGCAAGTCTGCAGCAAAACTAGCATCATTTTGAGGAGACAATCAAGTTCAAAGAAACACAGATTAAATTGGATTCAATAAAATAATCTGGTGTAAATATTTTCGACATTATATAACTTTATACCTTTTAACATTATAACTTTAAGCAGTACTATGATGTAGTATCATAGAAATAAAGGGTTCCTAAACTGGATAAAATGGATAAATAGTACTACATGTACGCAATCAACCATTACAGAGAGACTAAATGTGTGTTGTAGGGCATTTGTAGATATCACTGAGAGATTCAAGGGGGGGGGGGGGTGTGGAAGAGACACTTAACACAGTTATCTATCTTCTAGTTTGATCTTCAAGAGACCAAGAGACAGAGAGGGGGGACTTAAGATGGCGGGGTAAATCCATTCTAAGCAGTGTGTTGACCATGAACATGATGCCCACTGTCAGCGCCCCAGTCCCTGTGCACCAGGTTTACACAACGTGCCGAGCGCCCGGCCGGCCAGCACCGAACGACTGAGGATGCTGGGTATTATTTCACGGTCGAGGGCCATGCAAAGCTGCTCTCCAAACATGGGGAGGTGCCAGCAGTGATGACAACAGTCTTTTTTTCTCTCACAGCATTGACTGAGCAGGGAGATGGGGATTTCTTGTAGAGTCTAAAGGTATGTCTTCATCAGCTCTAGATTGCCAGATAACACGCTATTTCTGATTTG